AATAATAATAATAATAATAATAATAATAATAACGTCCCCAGGCTACGCATGAGAACTCACTTGTAAGAACTGAACCTTACAAAATAAATTCTTTTAGCACGCCCGCGCCATCTATCTACAGCTGAAGCGAACCTTTTGTGGCCTTCCAGTAACTTAGGTTCTGTAACAAGGGCTTAAGTAGAAACTCTTCGCGAAGGACATTAATTTACCAAAAGCTGCGGTGCAATGCCAAGTAATCTTACTATGTATTCAGGAGGTCATGACTTCAGAGGCCAGCTACCCTGACCTTGCCTTTAGGACCTACGGGACGAGTCGGGATATAGATCAACATCCGCAGTAGCTGAGATGAACTGAAATCACGCTCCAGCCTCTTTGCTCGCAGGGAAAGAACGCCGGTACTCATTGCGTACGGGGCTGGATGCCCTCAAGAGCCTATGTGCAGTCTGTGGAGAGAAGGAAATCTCTTGTTCTTCCCCGGAATCGCATCTCGATTGCCCCGTCGTCGAGCCCTTGATTTTTTCGCAGTACTGACTGAGATATCTCTGTTCCATTTTGTGCCTTTCCAAAGAGAATAAAGTGTTTGTCTGCCGTATTTATTTTTTTTATTTGTCAGAATTTCATTTTAAAACTTTCTTAGTAACTAGCAAGGATTATAACCGTGAGCGTATTTAACACAAAATATATCCTTGAAATGATACCACTGTGGAGAGAAATATCATAAATATATATACATGTATGTTTTATGTAATAGTAAGTCTGTTTGTAGCATAATAATACAGATCTTGTTACTATGGGAAGGATAAGCACGAATTCAGTGCCGTTACTCGTTCCGTCGCATAGTTTCTCTCTCTCTCTCTTACTTTTTTTTACTTTCTTGGGGTGGGGTGAGACTGAGTACGTCGGCCACGGTTTGGCCTATTTTACCAGCCCCGGTTGATGATGGATGTGGAGCAGTTGGTGGAAAGAGAGTTGGCAGCGGAAACCGAAGTACTCGGAGAAAACCTGCTCCCGTTCCACTGTATCCACCACAAATCCCACATTACTTCACCTGGGTTCGAACCCGGGTCCCTGAGGTAAGAAGCCGGCGACTAACCGCCTGAGCTATGGCACGGTCCTTCCGTCATACAGTTTCTTACTTTTTCTGTACATCTGAATCAACTTACCACAGAATGGCGGTTGGGAATTTGTTGGCACGACGAAATTCCCTCGGCCAGTAGCATTTATGGTGTCTAAGCCGATTGGCACGCAGTTCTGTAGGGTACAGGTATCTGGATTTACGACGACCTTAGACGCATATCCCAGAGTCAGTCGGCTGTGGAAGGAGAAGTTGTTTAACAGTTTGAAATCATTGCTTTAGCACGTGTCAGCATTGTGGCCTTTAGCTCTTCTGCTTATGAGTATGTAAATGGCGGCAAATATACCGATAAATGAAACTTAAATCTCAGTTTCGTACTCAAATCTATCAGCTCATTACAACTGTTTAAGATGAGTATCATATTAATCTGAACAGTGTCGATACAATTGTCCGCGAGGATGTAGGTATGTAGGGTTCAAGGCCAAATGAACTTTGCATTCGTAGATAAGAACCCCGTTTATGACACTCATATTTCCACGCGTATTTCATTTCCGGAAGCCACTTCTCAAATAGTCGTCTCTCGCCTAGTCCTCTGATTAGACGGCCCACCACGCTTTAAGTTATTATTCTTTAAAATTATTTCGGTTTTTCTTGTAGTGTGAAAATCGGGAGAAATCACTAAGAAGGAAAATGATTTTCATTGACAGTTACTCCTGGATAATGCTACGAAGACAAGCAGTCGATCCCGCAAGCAACGGCGGAGGTATGTACTGGGAATATATCGTCACTCGTATCAGTGATTAAAGACGGGTTTCGGATTGGTAATTGGATTTATTGAACACTTATAGGTCATAACTACAATTAATTATAACACTTTCAAGATTACTGTAATTATAGCACACAAAATCTTCTATATCTGTTTACAATAATCGTTGCTAGTTAACAGATCTAAACAATGGCTATTTCTCTGCAAAGTTTTCGTTATCCGTTTCCTGGCAGCGAATTTTAACACCAGAACTATAACTGTCACACTCCAGTTATCACTACACTACAGCACACATAAAGTTTTCACAAGCCAACTTCTAATTCTTCTTCTACTACTACTACGAATCCCGTTGCTGTCTCCGACCGACTGACTGGTAGCGCTGATTGTCTTCAAGAAAACTCCTCTGCACAGACCCCATGGAAAACGCTGTCTTCTTTTGCTAAGGTTGCGTGTTGAGAGGTTCGTTCCCTGGCTATAGACATCGTATTGTTCCGTGTGTTTTCTAGGCACGGACCACATAGAAAACACAGTTTCCCTTACGTTGTTGTCAAGTTCTTAGAGGGGGTGTTTACCGACCGTCGCGGAGAAATAGCAGTTCTTCTGTTGATGCCTGTATTCGTTGCCGTGGGAATGTTTACAGATATTCCTCTATTGTTATAGAAATTGCCCATATGTCAGGATATTATGAAATAGATAACTATTATGATAAGTATTATGAAATTAAAATGATTTATTTTTTTTTTACGAACGCTACGGCGGCTGCCTGGGCGATATCCAATTTAATATTTATGCAACGAATCAACCATTCTCACAAGACTTCTGATAACCAGTTAATTTTGAATTGCCAGACGAGATAGCACAGTCAAAATACTGACTGACTAAGGGATTGACGAACACTCCCCGATTCCTGGCAGGAAGACATCTACTCTGAGAGGACAAATATTTGAAATCGTTTATACAGTTTTTTTACAAGTTATTTTAATTCTCATTGCAATCCTCTTCTTACTACTTTCATGCACCATGTTCAGGTCGGATTTTCCCCCACACAGCCCCGTGTCATATTAATATTGAAAATCTAGCCCTGTGAGTAAAGCAAGATGAATCATGAAGCTGAATTTTAGCGTGTAGCTCCAAGATTAGGAATATGTCAAGAGTTCTAGGATAATATGGCGTATAGTCCGTTGGGTCGTAGAACAAATAGCCTCCATATTCAGGGGCGATGCTTGCTAACCCCTTCATGCTTATACCTGGCTTGTATTATTCGTCGACCCTGAAGATAGAGGCCATATTTCTCTTCGAAATATCGGCTTACCTTCAGCGGGCTACACGGCATTTTTTTTCCGAGAAAACAGACTCTTCATAGTCACCTTGGTGAAAGCCTCAATGTTAGAGAGAATGTGTGGAGTTTTACCTCTACACTCTCTTACTCCTTCATGGTGTGACGCTTAATAAATTCTAGGGATATCTTTGCATTCAATATCGCTTGCTGTCCCGGGAATAATTATTCACAGGTTAGTGGGCGGTACGCTACGAAAGCACATGATGTTTGCTATATAAACACGATCTAGGTAATAATTTCTAGGGCAGTGTGCAATAAAAGAAACGAACAGTTCTCATCCGGAACTGTCGATTCTCCTTCTCGAGCATGTTGTTACGTAACGTACCTTGTCAGCTTGTTGACTAAGCCTGCCTTGACACCCCAGAACTTGCAGCTACTTGCTAATGCTTCGGCGTAGTAAAGCAGTGATCGAGAATGGGAGCAGGCGAGTATCGCTGTAAAAATAACGGAGAATAAATAGTGTGACGAACATTTTAGGTAACACTCTTAAGGCCTTCTAAGTTCGTCTGTCACATTTCGTAAATTTAATATTTCGACTTTTTTTTTTCACTGGCTCTACATCCCCCTTGGGCCCTGACATCTGATTTTCAATTTCATGATCATTTTACAGACGGTAGGACTTTTTGGACGGGTGATCAGCTCGTCGTAAGACCTCTACCTAAATACAGGACAACACAAACACAGAATAAACGCATACACACGCCAAACATCTATACCTTCCGTGGTATTCGAACCCACGATCCAGACTTCCGAAAGAGCGAAGACAGTGCATGCCTTAGATCTCTCGACTAATGTCACTGGCCAATGTTTCGACTATATATTACATTATTATATCGCCTAAACAGTTAAGAAGCCAAAATCTTCCACTTCTCAAGAATCAGACTCCAGGTATCGAACAAGAAGTCTGCGTAGACGTAAAGCGCAGTGATTTTTATATACGTAATATGTTGCTGTATTTATGATGTCACATTTCTAACTACAGACACCACAGTCAATTGGTTAGCCCTGTTAATCTTACGTGGGAGATACCGTGTCTAATTACAGGTCCATAGATATGATATTATGGTCGAATTTTTCGAGATTTTCTTCAGTCATTCGATGTAAATTCAGGGTTGTTCCCACAAATAGGACGACGATGCCGCCTTCCAATATTCTCTGCAATGTATTCTTGAATAATTCTTTTATTCGATATTACACAGTCTGAAATATTGACAGCCTCGCTAAACATAAAATATATATAAGTAATTCTACGTCTATTGCGTATGGAGGTCTAGTGAAATGTAATTATTAATGCACTGAAACTCCAGACATGGAAATATTTCATTGCCCAAGTTAATATTTATTAGAGTAAAGAATGCTTTCCAGAAATTGTTATTATGAAAACATGTTTAGATTGTTTAGAAGGTATTTCATAATTATTTGATTAATTTTAATAATAGGCCGCGCCATAGCTCAAGCGATTAGAGGCTGGCTTCCCACCGCGGCGGCCCGGGTTCGATCCCGGGTCTGGTCAAGTGGGATTTGTGGTGGAGAAAGTGGCGCTGGGGCAGGTTTTCTCCGAGTACTTCGGTTTCCCCTGCCAATCTTCATTCCACCAAATTCTCCATCATCATAATCACATGGGGCAGGCTACAATAGGCCAGAAATGGCAGCAGTACAAGGGAATTAGTCCCACCCCACTAGCAATAAAAAAAGTTTAATAATACGGTTTTTACCATCACTAGTGTTGTCATGATGGAGATCCAGAAGTTGCCGGGGAACCACTTCAAGACCGCAGCCCGGTTGTTCCCAACCTCCGTTTACCCAAAAATCGACATCAGCTGAAGAAACAAAATATGAAACGGAAGTTATTCAGTACTTGTTTAGTGACCTTTGATAATGCAATGGGAGCCAACTCATTTGCTGTGTACACTATGAGGTTTGCGACGTCTTGCCTCTCTACCTTCCCTCTTACGGCGTACACTGTCTTTCCTTCCGTTACCTTTTTATACTGATTCTTTATTACGATTCACAGGGGCGACGCCGTTACCTTTCGTTTCAAAAAATTATTTCAACATTTATTTTCTCATATTGTCACCCTTAACTGGCAGCACACTGAACATACGTGTTATTCAACAACCTCGCTAAATCTGTTTTGATAATTACAACAGTAATGACTGTTTTCATCACATTGTCTGAAAATTGCGTGCTCCTAATTATATGGAGGCGTGGAGAGTATTAATCTTTCTATAGCTCAGTGGCAGATGGGACACACAGTTTACCTGGGGGCAACATTCAGTCTTGCAGCGGCTCAGATGTTACATATGAAACAGTTTCTGGCTCAGTGTAGTATGCCGAAGTTTGTTATTTTACAGCAGACCATAGAGAGAAAGCAGTCTTCTGGGATTTGGCGCCGTGTATATGCGGTGTTAACCGACGTTTCGGAAGAACGTATCGCCTCCATCTTCAGGGTAGAAGAAAAAATATAAGAAATCTGCAAGCGAAGAGACCTGAGAACCGGTAAAAGCAGACTGAGCAGGCGATACGTTCCTCCGAAACGTCGGTTAACACCACATATACACGGCGCCAAATCCCAGAAGACTGCTTTGTCTCTAGTCACCGCCGTGAAAGCCTCAAATCTTACAGACCATAGAGACTCTGCGCCGGTCAAGGTAATCGAGCGGTCTAAGGCATGTACTGTCTTCGCTCGCTTGGAAGCCGGGATCGTGGGTTCGGATCCCACTCAGGGCATGGATGTTTAGTTTGTTTGTGTGCGTTTTTCTGTGTTTGTGTACAGGTAGAAGCCTTGCGACGAGCTGATCACCCGCCCAAGGAGTCCTACCAAATGTGTAACATATAGAAAAACCGAAGTGAACGGAGAAGTTCATGGAGGTAGGCCTAGACCCACTGGGGCTGTAGTGCCAAGGGGAAAAAGAAAATAACGGCTGGTACGTCTAATGCTGTATGTCGGCATGTTAGTTTCTTAGGTCACTTGGAGTTTTTGTTTGACATTGACGCTTTGTATTTAAAATAATTTATTTATCCGTTTGCCTATCAGACAGTTTGAATTTGCCACTTCTGCACCCCTTTCCGTCAAGAAGGCATATTCATACCGTCTTCGTCGGACGTTCCAAGACCCGTCACAGGGTTTCCATTTGTGTGGATCGCTTCCGTAAACTGGGCATCTCCTTTACAGAGACGCACCTCGCAGTTCTTGTCCGTAAACCAGGGACCAGCTGGATCCAGTCCTGTGAATCCAGAAGTTATTCCTCTTAGAATTTATAGTTACATTAACTGCAACATTAATAACAGAATATGTTATGTCATCTTTTTCGTTAATTAGATTCCAGTGCTCCATATTTACAGGTAAGTAATTTGTCTCAACTGATTGCCTTATTTGTAACTCATTGTCTAATGGGATACCACTTGGCAGAGCACTTCAGGTGGGCTTAGTGATTTTTCGGGTTCTTCCTATATTCTCTCTTGAAGGGAGGGGCACGCGGTAGCGTGGTTGATTGAGGCACTATGCTACACGCCGGAAGTTCACGGGTTGGAGCCTCAATGAGATGATTTTTTTTTTCAGTTTACCTAATCCTTCCAGCCGCACTATGGCCCTGGGGTCGACTCAGCCTCTAACAGAAATGAGTACCAGGAATCTTCCTGGGGAGTAAAGCGCGGCCGGCGCGTGATCGCATTAAGTGGAGGAACTGTTTTGGAAGAGACTGTGGACCTGTCGTCTTGACAGATTACTGATGAATGAAGAATGAATGTTTCATAAATGAAATTAATTGCAGGAAGGAATTTCGCATATTTAATACTTCGACATTAAAATGTATATTGTGTAGGTATTTAAACAATAAAACAATATCAGAAAAGAAAATTCTTTCTTTCAGTTTGACATCTCTTAATATTACTCAAGTTGATACAAAATTATGAAGTGACTATTACAGTTTACCTGTTAGTCTGCCAATTCCAGGAATAGCCTTAGCTACATAAGCAGCTAAGTGCGCTCCTAAGCTATGTCCTATTAAATGGATCTGAGAAGGAGACACTCCAGCTTGGATTATATTTTGCACCATCCTGAAACAGTACGCATCATTATGAGGAGAGAGAAGAAATTGGGGGTTCTCATGGCGATTCTAAGAATCTTCGGTAAATATTTACCAAACTACAAGGCATCACGTCCCAATTTTCAAGGGAAAAGAATATTCATCTGTTGTATAGATCAAGTGACAGTGTCTTAAAGTTAGTGGGGAAGAGATTGCTGTATTAAGAACAAATGTTGCTTACTTGGTTACATATGTGGCTACGACTCTGAGGTTCGATACAACTTGTGGGTAGTTCACGTTCTTAGCAATCTCACCATAGTCCACAAAAATGCCATTAGCATTGACCTGTAAGTACGTCACAAACGAAAATTAACACTGATGTTTTACTTTCTGTTAAATGATGAGCAATTTGTGAAATAACAAATGTAGCGAGTGTAAATAAAGGAGCTAGCAGAATATGCAGAGATAATGTTGTCCCCCTTATTATTAATTAAATCTAACACAATGAGGCCACATGGAGGAGTAAAGGTACAACTCCACACGCATTCTTAACCTCGGCACTAGGTGGAACGTGAGTGTTTAGCTTCACGCTGTAGCCGCTTTACATTTTATGTGGCTGGAGAAACCGAGAGAAAACGAAACGGCAGCTGTTCCTTTCACAGTTCTCATTACAAACAAAAACCTTCATCGAGTAGTTATCAATCCTGTTTCATACTTGTAAAACACTGAGTTCAATTCTCGGCTCGGAGACCGACTTTCCTGCCTGAGAAATTGTGGATTTCCTTAGTCCGCACAAGAAAATTCTGGGATAAAGCTTATAATTAGGTCATAACCGCATCGTTCCCTGTCCTTTCCGTTTCGTTGTCTTTAATGACCCTAACACTCGAGGTATTAGAAAGCCTCTAATGTGAGAGACTGAAAAATTCGTTAAAGGATATTGTGACCTGAGCGTTGAAACCCAGAGTAGTGGAACAAATATATGAGGCCATTCTTAGGCAACAGTGGGATAAACACACATGGAAAGGAATAAACAAGCAGCGATGGAAAATACGGTATTTTCGTATGCGAATATTGCTAGACAACGACACGGTAAACACTTGCCCGTGAGATGAAATAGCGCAGAACACTGGAGGAGCCTTTGGAGGAGGCGTCTTTTACTGTCTGATAAACTGGTGCAGGCTCTTGGGCGAACATTGATTGTTCGTTCCTTATCCCAAGAAACTCATGACGCTCATGACCATGTTCTACTGTCTGACAGCTCTGGGAGCGCTTACTCACCGGTGTCTTCTGTCCATTCCGCTTCTGTAACGATGACAAACTGGTCAAGCCAGTGTGGCGACAGTAAGTCGGAGGTCTGAGTCATGAATTGCTTTGTTATCAGCCGCTACCTAATAACGACACGTGAATAAACAGAACACTTTACGTGTGCTGTAGTTGTACTAATCTGTTTAAAATAAATGAGTGAGGCTGTAAGAGTTACGAGTTATAAAATCCAGTTATCACTCGTAACCCAGTGTCCATTCACTAACATTTGACAATTAATACGGAATACTATGTTGTTTTGGATTTATTGGTTATTAATTTTTATTGTAATTTTTGAAAATATGTTTTTAACTTTAATAAATTAGAATGGTGTACGGAATGATCGAAAATTAATTTAGAATGAAATTTCTCCCTTCATAATTCCTCACTTTTCTATTAATGCAATACATTCCATGCTGCTGCTGCAGATAATAATGATGATAACAGTATACGGAATGCAGTCTCTCACCTAAGAGTCAGGTCTGTGTCTTATGAAGTTAATGGCTTTCTTCTACCTTAAGGGTAAGGCATGAAACTCGTCCGTAACCTTGTACCCGTGGCCCACACTGTGCCGTGTCACATCCCAGAGGGCCGAAATGTCAATATCGTTCACAGCTGCATCCTCGGGTCTTATATGTCATATTAGGTTACAGCCGCTCCGAATGATTGTACCAAATATTATTAACACAATTCTTTTACCTGTCTGCAGGACTGCAACATTTTGAGAGGATGGGCTGAACTCCGCTTGGGAACGTAAAAGTGAATGTAGAATTGTGTACGTCTCCGTTTTATTGGTAAAGCAGCAAGAGCGTGAAGCTGGATACTCACTTCACTTAGTGTGGAAGTGAAGAATACCTGGATCTAAACTTCCGTTACCCATAAGTCTTCATGCCTCAGTACCTAGCTAAATAAGCAAAAATTTATCTTTACCTTCACCCATGTTATTTTATTTATTATCCATTCTTTGTATAACATCACAGAAATAAATCATTTCAGCACTCACACGTGATGAGTAGAGGGTTGTAATATTCATAATGGAGGGTGCAGCCGCAGAACTCATCCATCCGTGGAAAAATATTATTGTTGGTTTCCTCACATTGAGGTAACCTGGAATTTTCGACGCGTTCCTTGCTGTGAAGACGACTGGATTATCCTTATTCGAACTGCGACGAACAGAAAATTACAATTACAGTATCTAGAAAGAGTAAGAGACGTGGGAATAATTTGCTACACTTAAGAAGATGACTTCATTATTATCGTTTATATTCTGTAGCGAAATGTCATATATCGCATTACTTTGCATTATAACACAAGAGACATCCATATGGAAATAATATGCCGCCAAATTTTCTCCTTGGGCCATTGATGTACCTGTAATATTAAGGCGATTTAGTACGTTGGTATAAAGTGAGACCACGTTTCAGCAGGGAGGAGGGAGCGCTACGTTACCGCCAGGTGCCGCTGGGGAGGTAGGGGTCCTCCGTTGCGCAACATGTCACAATACATCCAAACTGGCTCATGCTTGACCAGTTACGAGTATTTGTACGGTTGCACTTTGATTTCGTTTTAAGTTCCCGTTCTGTTGCCTTAAATTACTTCTCCGTGTTATTCACGCCCAAATATAGGCTTCGGACTGTAGACAAGAATGACGGAAGAAGTTAAGTTCCTAAGTTTCCAAGAACCCCTGTGTAGGTTTGCACCTATTTGAGAAACCTGAGTCCGATATTGGAGTAGCAATCTTTCTGAACTGAAGGAAAAGTGGAAATACCGCGCAGGCACGCGTTAGTATAAACTTCAGAGAGCTTGAAGAAAGCAGTCTGCTTTTACCGGTTCTCACGGTCTCTCCGCTTGCAGATTTCTTATATATTTTTTCTTCTACCCTGAAGATGGAGGCGATACGTTCCTCCGAAACGTCGGTTAACACCACATATACACGGTGCCAAATCCCAGAAGACTGCTTTCTTAATAGTCACCGCCGTGAAAGCCTCAAATCTTACATTCAGAGAGCTTGTTGCGTGCTTGGCTTGTATTTCTACCTTGAAGATGGAGGTATTGCGTTTCATTGATGCGTTTGTGAATTTCTGGAAGAATTTACGATATCACATGACAAAACATAGAACTCTTTTCTTCTCTTCAAAATTTACACACTTCATAATTGAATAACAAAAACTGTACCCTTTAATACGTAGGTAAGTCAAAAATTATCCGCACTCTTGTTTTTCCAATCCGTATATACAAAAGTAGGGGTTGAACAAGTACTTCATTTTTCTACATAGCCTCCCTTTTCGATGCACTTGGTCCAGTGGTCCAAAACCTTGCGTATTCCCTCCACGAAGAAGGTTTTCGGTTGGTCTCGCAACAATTTATGCACCGCTTCCCCCACTTCTTTGTCCGTAGAAAATCAAAACCTCGTAAAACATCTTTGAGCGGTCCAAAGAGATGATAGTCGGAAAGGGCGAGATCTTGGCTGTAGGCAGGCTGTTCCGGCACCTCGAAACACAAATGGTTAATGGTTTCAACGGTCTGGCTGTCCTTGTGTGAGCGTTCATTGTCATGCAACAACAACGCTTTCTTCGACAATAAGCCTCGGCGTTTGGTGCGAATTGCTGGCTTCAGATTGCTGGCCAGCAAATCACTGTATCCTGCACTGTTGATCGTACACCCTTTTTCCAAGTAGTCTTCCAGTATAGGCCTCTTTGAGTCGCAAAATCGGTTAGCATCACCTTTCCCACGAAAGGTTGAGTCTTGAATTTCATNGTAGGCAGGCTGTTCCGGCACCTCGAAACACAAATGGTTAATGGTTTCAACGGTCTGGCTGTCCTTGTGTGAGCGTTCATTGTCATGCAACAACAACGCTTTCTTCGACAATAAGCCTCGGCGTTTGGTGCGAATTGCTGGCTTCAGATTGCTGGCCAGCAAATCACTGTATCCTGCACTGTTGATCGTACACCCTTTTTCCAAGTAGTCTTCCAGTATAGGCCTCTTTGAGTCGCAAAATCGGTTAGCATCACCTTTCCCACGAAAGGTTGAGTCTTGAATTTCATCTTCGTTAGCGATCCCGGGTGTTTCCACGCCATACTCTGGCTTTTGGATTCTGGCTCATAGTGATGAACCCACATATGAATTTCAGCCCCTGACGCACCTTCCAATCAGAGAAATCGGGTCACTATTCTTTGTTAATCATTGGTGCACACTGCTAGCAGAGCGGCCATGTTTACACTGGCACAGCATCAAGGAAAATGATGCGATCAAGGTAAAACTTCGACCACGTGACCACAGTAGTACCGACTCTAACAATGCATGCGTAGGAGGCAGTGCGACAAACCTAAAGATGTGTTATGGAGAAAGTGCGGATAATTTCTGACTTACCCTCGTATTTTCATACTGGTTATTGAGCAGTGTGTCATATGCCCATTGTGATATTTTTTAAGACAACTGTACTGTTCGCTTCTCAGTAAACAGCGTTAATCCTGTAGGCAATGCAGTGAGAGAAGTTAATTAATGTCTGAATACACACGGGATTTTTAGTACCTTGAATTCTCTTCTGTAAGAAACAAGAAAACAATTGACATTACCGAAACCATCGAAGTTACATAGTGCCTTTGGTATGTTATCGTGACAAATATAAAGCCAATATTTAATACTGATACGGTATTATACAGTTCAGTTCCAGTGGATATTAATTCTATTCATACCTCTCAATAAGGAAAAATCTTGTCAAATTTCCTTCACATTCTGGTTCCGGCACTAGACGTGTGAGGGTTTGCCATGGGTCGCCTAACTCATAACATTCTTTGTCGGGACAGCACTTCTGCTTGGCTGTGGGGCAGAAAGCAAATATCAAGGAGTAATTTATTCACCTCAACTTCAGGAATACGGTTCTGTTTTCGAATCTTGAAGTGACTGTGTGATGACACGAAGGATACATGGACAGTTGGGTTGACAGACGGATACAGAGGTGTTTCATACAGATTTAGGTTTCAGGACGTGCGCATTTCAAACACGAAATATTGTAGCACATAGCCATGGATAAATGGGTGGATGTATTCATCCAATAAAGGCAAATACAATGTATCAGATTCGGAAACATAATACAGCTTCAAAGAATTTGTCATGTAGAAACCAGCAAAACAGAAATTACATTAACACAGTTAACAGTTGAGTCGCAGTTTTAGCTTCTGTTGAGGGGTATCTAGGTTCATACAGACCATGTTGGGTGTGTCCCTCGTCATCACTGCATGCTGCTTCCTCCGGTTGCGGATGGAGGAGACGGCCTCCAGATATGAAGCGTAGTTTCGAATATATTGAATAAGCAGTCGTGGACGGCCGACATTGGTGGCTCATCTGCTTGGGCGTTGAACGTGGGACTATCAAATCCTCATCATGAAAAATAGGCCTGTTACGAATTGCCACAAAAGTCAACGAACTTTGGTGGATTCGTTGGATCAACTACCTAAGCTACGAAAAATTGATATCAGATGTGGTACATAGACTGAGGGTGTTTGAGAACAGGGTGTAGAGGAGAATATTTGGACCGAAGAGGGATGATGTGACAAGAGGTTGGAGAAAACTGCATAATGAGGAGCTTCGTAACTTGTACTCTTCTTCATGTATAATTAGAATGATCAAGTCAAGGAGGATGAAGTGGTCAGGGCATGTAGCATGAATGGGGTAGAAAAGGAATGCATAAAGCATATTGGCTGGAAAGCCAGAAGGAGAAAGACTACTGGGAAGACCATGGAGTAGGTGGGTTGACAATATTGAAATGGATCTTAGAGAGACAGAATGGGATGGTATGGACTGAATTGATCTGGCTCAGGATAGGGACCAGTGGAGGGCTCTTGTGAAAACGATAATGAACCTTCGGGTTTCATCTACTTTGGGGTAATTTTGAGTATCTGCAAAACTGATTCCTCAAGACGTGTTGAGCCTCATGAATTTAGTTGAGGTCATACCGAATTACGAGTGTGTACTACAGATTTGTGGATTGCAGTGATCATATACACGAAATTTGCAGTAAACACATGATTATGTCATCAATACCATTATCATCAGCCTCTGTATTGGGGCTGTTTCATATCTTACAAATAATTTAAAAGAGTTTCTTACGACCAGTTACAAGCCCTCCTATACTTTCTTCTCCTCTGGCTTAATATTTTGTAGTTTGTTCTGCAATGACATTTATGGTCATCACAGTAGATCTTCCCTTCCCAGGTACTTTCAATGTGATCTCTAATATTTCTTATATGCTGAAATTATTACTTTCATAATTATAGGTTAGTTCGTAAAGATAGCCATTTTTTTTGGGAGGTGAGGCTGAGTAGTTCGGTAAAGGTTTACAAATGCGTCTGACAAACCTACTGCCTACGTGTTCAGAGTTATATGGTTTTTTTGCTAATTACTAAATCACTACATAACCTGAAATCCGTATAAGAGAACCGTGGTTATATGACTATTCCTGTGAATTCAATTAACCATTTAAGAATGTTTACAAATCTGTGGGCAGCAACAACAAACACAAATATTACTGCGGGATACGTAACAGTCTACACTGAGACTTAATTATTGATTTAATTATGTAGAATAATCTTATAATATTTCAAAATTTATGGATGTGGTTACGACATCAATTTTGAATTGATTCATATTATTCTCTTCAAAAACTATACGATTCTCCTCACACGATATAATAGTGTGTTATTCCCTCAAATTGGCAGATCCATTTTCTGAGTCTGCTATTCAGAGGAAGAATAAGTAACATAAAATAATACCATTTCTTGAACAGGAAGGAAGGATCACTTCGACCCAGACATACGACTATGTTTAAGTTTATTTCTGTTTGCCTATGTACTCACCACAGAATGATGAAGAGACAAGCAACAGTAGTGTGAAACACAGGAGAGTATAACACATAGTGTTCCCGAGAATGTGGTCTCTAATGAGAAGACTTACTTGTGTTTGCGGTGTTCTTGAAGGGTTCTTCAAAGTACGTTAAGTACTGCAATTAACTTCCATCCTACATGCATTTCTTTATCTTGGTGTTCATCAATTTCTAAGCAGAAAACAAGTCGTGGAAGTGGAATAACATATAAATAAACTCATAATGTCGTATGTAATAACAACTTAACAGCTTACTCGTGAGTGATATAGATCATATCTTTCGCCAGCTACCTCGAAACGCGTAACTTGTGACATAAACAGGAGTTGTAATCTAAGGCACAGCGAGTATCTTTCAGCTAATCCTGTTATCTCTTACGGAAGTGCAGAAATATTCCTGACACAACATCCATCATTTATATAAATATTTGTTTCGTTATTCCATACATTTTCCGTACTTCATGGGTCTGTTTATCTTTCCTAATACATTTTCAACGTCTTTATTGCTTTTAGCCTACTTTCCTAAAGCAAACTTATGCTCTCTATTTCGTTTCTTTATGTTTCTGTGTTCCACCTATCGCTTCTTGGCAACGGTGTCTCCTATTCTGGAGGAGGGAACGAGCATAAATTAGGTCACAAGTCACGAAGGGCCTCAAATAAAGAATGTACTGGCTAGGGTCAGCGACAGTATAATGGAATGGACAGTCGGGTCAGTTTTCAGTTGCCTTGTTAGTAGCCGCTACCTAACGGCTATTTAAGAAGAACAGAAGACCTTTTTTGCTATCGAGTGTATAGGTCAGTGAGGCTGATATAATTATTTATATTTACCTGTTATAAATCCGAAATCCGTTTCTATTGAGTGACACGTGAGAATATTAAAAAGAATATTCTTGAAGGAGTACGGTGGTTGGCACAATACAAGAATATGAACACACACACAAACCTACTCACGGTCATCTCACTGAACAGTCTTGTCTAGCTGTAACGTTCTAGACTTTCATTCAGAGGTGGTCATTTCGAATCTTCCTCAGGACACTGGGTAGCTTAGCTGAATAATTTTTGTTTTGCTTGGATTTTTGGGCTAATGCAATGGTATTACTCCCGATTACCCCAAGACCGCTTTCTTCCAAATCCTTTACCGTACATATTCCATTAATAATTCTGTCATATGTGTACAACGACGTACAATCTTCACATTGACAAATAAAAGTTATCTACCTATCACATTTGACGCTGTACGACTACTGAGTTTGAAACAGCATCATTAAATCACACACCTGCCCCCTGGTCTTCCCAGTGGTCTCTTTCCATCTGGATTTGCCACCAATATCCTTTATGCATACCTCTTCTCCTCCATTCGTGCCACATTCCCTGTCCATCTCATCTTCCTTGACTTGATCATTCTAATTATACTTGGAGAAGAGGACAAGTTATGAAGTTCCTCATTATGGAGTTTTCTCCAACCTCCTGTCACTTCATCTCTCTTCGGTCCAAATGTTCTCCTCAACACCCTGTTCTCGAACACCCTCAGTCTATGTTCCTCCCTTAGTGTCAGAAACCCACACAGAACCACAGGCAAAATTATAGGTTTGTATGTTCTAATTTTTATGTTTTTGGACAGCAGACGATAAGACAAAAGAATGAAAAAAAAACACAATCCACATATGAGAAACAGTATATTAGTATAAAGATTGTTTTGTGCATATAAAAATACGTATAATTCTAGTGCTTTCGCAGTACCACAACTTTACCAGCATCACCTTCATGGATTAGGCCATGCGTGGTCTGTTCGTCCTCCTCAAGAGTATGCTGATCTTCCAAACGCAACTCTTTTCCTTTTTGAGTTCTATATTAGAATTTTCTATTCTTCTATTTCTAAATTTTCTATTTGTTGCACCTGATATTTCGATTGTGTTTTGGATTTCAGAATTTTTTTCCTTCAGATTAGAGAAGTTCAGTTCTTTCCTAGTTTTTTTGTTTCTTAGTTGGTTCTTCCTTGTGCAACCTGCTATGCTCCTCAAGAATTTTATTTCTGAAAGTTCCATTTCTTCTTCCTGTTTTATTTTTCTTTTTCTTGTACTCTACATTTCTGATCCTTACCTAAGCATAGGTACTGTCACAGCTTTATAAAATTTTGTGTTCGTTTCCTTGTCTTGTTATTCAGTACCCTTATTATTGTGCTGCACATTTTATTACATCTATTTTTTTTTATTTCGAGATCTCTGTTCTTTTTTACTGTAAATGTTTACCGGAGTCATAGTTAGAGTTACTTATACTTCACGACTGGCGGTTTAGCGCCAATCATTTCACCTTAGCGACAATTGCCTTGAGACTCAGGGCCAGTAATTTTATTTTCCAAATGAACACTTGCGGTTATAGTCCTTTTGTAACATCCTCTCTGACAAGAGGATGGGTCTGTCGTTTACAATTGCTGCTGGGCCCCGCCAGCGTAGTCATCTCAGGTCCAAATCCCTTGGAACTCATGACCACTTTTCCTGTCTCAGATTTCAGACTTCCTCAACCTGGAGATCCAGGTTCCCGTATTTATATCCCCCAGGAACAGGGTGGCCCAATTATATCCCCAGGTACTGGTGCTCGCTTTTCGTCACCTACGACTCGTAGGACTACGGTGGAGGTACTCGAACCCGCCTTTTCACGGACATAATCGAACTATCAGAGTCAGGGTCGGAGCATGAAGTAAAGTAATAATAACTGAATTAATTTATTAAAGTGCTTGCCAAGAGCAGTGGCCTATTTCAGGCAATTCCCGAAAGTACACAATAAATGCAAATGTACGGATTAAGGAAAAATTAATTTAATAATTAAAAAGAGAAATAGCGGGTCAGTTTGTAATATACAAAGTGAAAGTGTCTTCCATGAAAACGATATTCCTATTAGAATTATCAAAAATTCTGCGTACACTATCAGCAGTGTTGGCGAAACTTTCCCAACATTGAAATTTCCTAATAATAAAAGTGTTAAAGTCGCCAGTTAATTTAGTGGCTACATGAAGATTAAGAATATCCATGAAGAGTCATATTTTCTGGAATATAGCACCATGTAAGCTTTTGTTATGAATAAGGAGACTTTGTTTTCCTCTGAAAACATTTAAAGGCATGAAAACCATTCATATATCGCCTTACTGATAACGCGCACTAAATATTAAACATTCTACAATCAAGTCATAATTATGAGAAATATCGGACTGATGAAATGAAGCCGGGATAGCTTAGTGCAGCGGAGAGACACAGGCTTGTCGGCTCAGGAATTAAGGTTTAGATTTACTGGCAGGGAGTCCTCGCAGCGTCCGGACCGGCTCTGCTGCTCACCCAGTCTTTTATCCAGTGTGTACCGCGCTTCTTGCCTCTGCGTTGAAGCGACTGAAACGTGAAACTGACAGTTCACCTCCGTCTAGTGCCAAGGTTAAGAAGGTGGGAGCTATAATTGCACTTCCCCATCATACATCCTCATGGCATGGTGTTTAATTGATTAAGCACGTGCGTGTACCGAGAGATACTCGGACTTTCACTTCAACATATATAGTCGACCCTCATGGATATCCGGGCAAAATAAAATGTTATGAAATGAATCAGCCATAGAAGCTTTATAAGTAAGGTGACGATGAATGTACAGGTCACTGCCCAAAATAACATGGAGATCTGTCATGCAGTCAGTACGCAAAATTGTAATATTTCTGGTGTGGTACTTAAAATTGATACAATAATATTATTCTTACCAGTAAATGGAATGAAGTTATTTTTATTTACGTTGAGGAACATGTACTGTTCTGGACGCCATTTTTTATCACATAAAGATGCATTTGTAACCATTTTCAATCTTATTTTGACTTAATTACTCAATAAAATTTCAGTTCCTATTATTTATTAACAAAATTTTAGAAAAAGGGAGGTCAAGGAGGGAAGTTGTCGTACAAAAGGAAACAAAAAAGAAAGGAAGATCACAGTAATATGGGGAGAATAATGGATTTATTCAATGTATTATATATATATATATAGTCACGTGTAGTGTGGTACGCGTGGCAAAAATAACGGGTTATAGTTCAGGTGATTGGATTTATTGGCACTTCGGTTACACTCTCTGTCTCTCTCTCTTAATTGCAATTATTACAGAGCTATGGCTGATTTACACACTTTACAGTTCACCGTTGCACGCGCACTGGGGTTCTCAGTCTTCACTAGTCGTATCCAGGCAACGGATCTCAACACAGAAGTAGCACTTCAGATCACTATGAAGTCTTCTTGCTATTTCGTCTTCAATCACTCTGTCCTGCTCTGTCTAATTCTATTTTCAATTAATCCTCACAATTCACTAAGAACACGCTCCATTCTCGTCCTTGTACTCTCAACTACTGAACCCACATGGACGTTCCTTAGCTGCAACCGGACTCGTGTTAAATAGCCGTGGCACGCACAACACAAGAAACAGAAAATATGTTACGTGATAGCTATCTCGGCAGTCCATTGGTGCTCTGACTTGCGTATCACCGAGCTATAAAAATTGGTCTTATTGTAGCGTGCGCGTATTGCGGAGTGTTTATAGGCCCATAGGTTTGTCGAGGCTCCCCCATTTTATGGATAATGGGTTCACAGATGGTGGTGAGGTTGTCAGAGTTACGCGTTGGCCGCCTCTTACCCCCAGGAATATTCCTGGTATTCATTTCTGTTAGAGGCTGTGTCGACCCCAGTGCCATAGTGCGGCTTGAAGGATTAGGTCAATAGGAAAATCCAGTGGCCTATCTGGAATCGAAACCTCGACCTTCCGGCTTGTAGCATAGCGCCTCAACTAACTGCGCTATCGCTTACCCCAATGATATAAGAGTGTCGTTACATAAATAGGTAACTTTTTTCTAACGTTAGGTAAAGTAGGAAAATTACTTATCTTTGTAACTACAGTACAGTTGCAGGTAGTGATAAATTTTGTTTGTCATTCTTCGAAATGTCATATTTTCTCCAAGGATATAGACTTACACTGTTTTACAAGGTAGATTTCGTTCCTGGAAGAAGCCATCTAATTCAAAATCGCTTCCCCCTTCTTCAACTCTGTTTTTAAATTTTTAAATGATTTTGAATTGAAAGGACTGTGATTTATTTTGGTTACTTCATTGGATTACTCAATTGACCTGATACTCCCAGCCGCACTACGGTCCTGGGTTCGACTTGGCCTCTAACAGAAATGAGTACGAGGAATCATCCTGGGGGGTAAAGTGCGGCCGACGCGTAAGGCTGGCAACCTCATCGCCATCTGTGAGCCAGTTGTCTAGAGAAAATGTGGGAGCCTCGACGCTTCACAAACCTATGGGCCTCCACGGCCTGTTACAGGGATTAGATATATTATACGTCTTTTATTTGAAAGGCAAGTAGCACTATAACTGCTTGGGGAAAGGATTTAGTTATAAACACAAAATGCAAGAAGACGAGATGCCCAAAGTTGATACGTGTTTGTGTGAAAGCCTCCATGTGGGAGATAAAGATGTTTGATATTCAATAACACGCAGATCCAATACACTTACATTTAGAGGGCCTACAACTTACGTGATTATTAGGTTATTTCTTATTTTCGCCTAACTTTGAAACCCAAGGAATGAATCTCGGTTTGTTACGTGTGCTAAGTAGAGATTATAGATTTTATGTCATATTTTTTTAGTTAACAAATTTTAAAAACATAATCCTCTCCTGTTTTGGTGAGGGTACAGGCAGTTTTTCTTAACACTAGTATTCTGATTATTTGTCTGTTATTTATTTAATATCACTTTCGATATTATTATAATTGTATAGCATCGATTTCTTAGGTGTTTATTTAACGACGCTGTCAGTATCGAGAGTAAATAATTTTGTGTGATAATATTGTGTGCTTGTACTTTTCTCCAAGTATAATTAGAATTATCAAGTCATGGAGGGTGAGGCAGGCAGGACATGTAGCAAGAATAGGGGAAAAGATGAATGCATATAGGATATTGGTGGGAAAGCCAGAAGGAAAGAGACCACTGGTAATACCAAGTTGTAGGTGGGTGAACAATATTAAAATGGATCTTAGAGAGATAGAATGGGATAATATTGATTGGATTGATGTGGCTCACTATAGGGACCAATGGAAGGCTCTTGTGAGCACGGTAATGAGCCTTCGGGTTCCATAAAATGCTGGGAATGCTCGCAGTGTGTGTTTAAAATGGCCGTGTCTATTCAAAATCTCGCCAGATGTGAGGTTCGTGCAGTAATTCGATTTCTTCACGCGAAAGGAGAAACTGCTGCTGAAATCCATCACCATCTTGTTTCTGTTAACGGCGAAGATGTTATGAACAGGCAAAACGTGGCAAAATGGTGTCGTCAATTTGAAGCGGGAAGAAGCGATAACCGTGATGAAATATGAGGTGGAAGGCCATGCATTGTCACTGATGAAATTATCCAAAATATTGATTAAACATTCGTGCTGACAGACGTTAAACCATCAATGTAGGCGGAAGATTTCTACGACGCTGAAATAAAAATCTCGTTTCCAGGCTCACCAAGTGTTTTGCGATGCATGGTGACTATGTTGAAAAGTAAATAAGTTGTTAGGTTATTCTAATGTCCCATAAGCCTTGCCTTCAAACTGCTGATTTTTAACGACGTTGTCTAAACAGCATAAGTTATGTAACGTCAGATGACTGGAAACATGATTGCCACTGATGTGTAGTAGACTTATCTCTGCTGTCACGCCTGATGACTTCCTTGTTACAACAAAAATAGTCACATTGGTATTGAGATAACAACTTCCATCACCACACCAGTAGTGTCAAGGTGTGGAAATTAGTGTTACTGGCTACTAGTGACAGAAATGAAAACACCATTTGTTATTTCCTTAATTACAGTGTCGCTGCAAAGCTAATAGCTCTATATACAGGTATTACATGACACTGACATTGATTAGTTTTTTCATTTCATTAAGTACCACATCAAAAAAATTGCGAAATATATTTGTAACATGAATCTTAATAAGATCTGTATTTCATATCATGTACTACTGTTTCATAAAATGGAATGTGATTAGTTTAGAAAATTAAAACAAAGTTGCCCAGTTTCTCTCTATATAACGTATCATATTGAAAAAAAAAAGTTAAAGCTATTACTGTAACAGGCTGTGGAGGCCCATAGTGTTGTGAGGTGTTGAGGATCTTACATTTTCTAGACAGCCGGCTCACAGATGACGTTAAGTTTGTGTCAAACTCACGCGCCGACCGCTCTTTACCCACAGGAATATTCCTGGTACTCATTTCTGTTAGAGGCTGAGTAGACCTCATGGCCATAGTGCGGCTGGAAGGATTAGGTAAATTGGCCTTCTGGTATGAGTTGCGTCAAACCCAAAAAGTCGATCTTGTGTGTTAGGCACCGGGCTTAGGACCTTAAGGACAAACAGTGTTCAGGCCTATTCTATCTTCGTATGTTATAGTGGGATTCCCTTGTTGTCTTCAGCAGTACAGCCTGTGAAAGTAAGAAACTAGTCTACCAAATTGTCAAATACCAGGACTTACGTTCTTCACGATTCTCCTCAGTATGCCATGCGAATGCCGGTCACAACGGCCTCCTAAATTATTCACATTAATCCGATTCCTGATTATCTTGAAATAATATTTTACGTCATCTAAAGTCTGTGGTTGAGGTAAAATCGTTCGTTTGAGTGTGAGATGCGTGGAAAAGTTTGTCTCGACTAGCTCAGTGGTGGGCTCCAGTCTGACTCAAGATAAATATTATATTATAAATAAATCGTCAAGATCGCAAACAAATTATGGCTTACTCTCTGAATGTGTTGCGTTTCCAGAAAGATACTAACCACAACAAACAATCACAATTAACATTTATCTTTAGTTTGTACTCATGTGTCCATATAAAACATTTATTTTCTTTCACTTAATTTACATTAGCATAGTTTTAATAACCATTGAAACTTCAGATCCAGAAACAGATCCATAAAAATCCATCCTCATAGAGTGATTCTGAACTGATAGAATCCAAAGAGAACTTCTGTGTATGAAACAGGCTGATCTTGTGTTCTGTTGACCTTGAAATACAGGATATGATCAATTCTAATATATTCATGTAACACTGTAATAAACTACCCACGTAACTTAGGTCCTCTTTGCATGAAGTTCGGAACAATGAAGTCTAGCAATAACTATGATCAACATACGTAAACACTGTCACCGCCTGTTCTTTGAGACTAGCGTAAATATGAGCAGGAACACTAAGAGAATTTTAGTTGGCAGCACTGTTGTAGATCCACTGTGACTTCTTAGCATGCCTACGTTGTTATCATCTGAGCAGTACACGCGTGCTGGGCCGATGCAGGCAGAGTAGCCTATCACATGAGCGATGTAGTTCTGCTCGAAGACACCAGATAGCAAGTGTGAACTGGGTCCACTAGAGTAAACAGGTACATCTTCACCGGCGTGGGTTTCATCCCCAAGGTAATATGGTGAGAAGTGACGATATCTGGAAGGAAAAATGGCTGAGCATTATTGACTGAACATCGCATGTTAACTGGAAGTGAAACTTTCCAATTTGATTCTTCTGAGCATGAATTTCGTCTAAGTATTATTTACATATTTAATTCTTCGTCACAGAAAATACACTGCTTCTCAATTACAAAGACCAGCTATGTACTAGTTGCTTGGTTTAGTTTAGGGAAATCATTATTATTTACTCTGAAAACGGTGCAAAGCCTTAAATACGCTCTGTGGCAACAATTCAGAGTTTAAGGAGGTGACACAGTAATATCTGTGTTTTAAAGGGTAAATTAAGAGGTAAAATTATGCCAGGGCTTAATTAATTAAGCACCACGTCGTGATGACGTATGGGGGAGTTCAAATATTGCTTCACCACTTTCCAATCTCGGCACTAGATGGAAGTGAATGGTCATCTTCACACCTCTGCTGCTTTACCTCAAGGTAAAAAGCCCCGGTACCCATTGTACAGGAGGCTGGGAGGGCTACAGAGTCGGTCTGGACGTTATGGAAAAGATAAAAATCTGTTGTCCCTAACTGGAAATTAACCCTGAATCATCAAGTCGTCCAGCCAGCTACCTAGTCAATATACCGACTGAGCTTTCACGGGTCGGCTTTAAAGGGTTAAAAACAAAAATTTATAAAAGGACATGGTCTGCATATTAATAAAAATTTGGTTATGTGACCATCTTAAAGAATAGATTATGTATTCCCGTTCTGTTACTAAGAGGCAAATATAATCTACATCACAGCTTGAGAATATATATACACGAATATATATTTATGGCGGTTACTGACATACATGTCACATTTGTGGCATTTAGAACACAACTCTTACAGGCCGAATGTGTAAAAGGAATGGTTTCCGTTCTAAACAGCCTGTCTTTGCAAACTAGTTACAACTATTTGGGCAGTGAACGAAGTTATCTTAAAACAAATAAAAATCAAAATACGTCACGCCTACGTCTAGTGTAAACGTCAGTTTTTTATCACATCCTTCACAACTTAAAAAAGTGTGTACATATGTTCCGAGTTCCATGTATAATTGAACTTCTCTAAATTACGTAAATATAAAATGATTCAGAACATAAATATATCAAAGTGTGTACCGTGTTAGTTTGTTGGGTACTCTGTGCCACTTTATTTTAATTAAAAATTAAATTATTTTTCCAAAGAGGAACGTTTCTTGTATTTACCGCCGTTCTACATTGCACCGTTTGGGGAAAACGGGGAAGTTTCATTGGACACTACTGTACCAATTTTTCCAAATGTAAAAAGTTGGAAACTTCTCCTGACATGCCTCCTTAAAAGCGCGTCCACATTACTCGTGCTCGTGAGTAATGTGGACGATATAAGTCACGAGGAAAGCAAATTTCAAATTTATAATTTAAAAACTATAGCCAATAAATTAAAATACGACTACAGCCTGTACACACTACGAGTAAATATACGAATCCTCACGCGCCGAAGCCTGGCGGACAACTGAAGTAGTGTGGACGAATATTTATGAGCACAAGTAAAAGCCAGACGAGTCTCCCGACGAGCACAAGCCTGGCGAGCACGAGTAATGTGGACGCACCTGAAGAGGAATATTTTTGGCGTGTGCCCATTTTTTTGCGACGTGCCGTTGTGATAAACGATGTGGGGCTGACGGATGTTTTGCTCTTATATAAATGCTCACAGGCCTAGGCCTCGTAGTAAATAACGCAAATATGTACCATCGGATTTCCTTATTTAAATCGCCCTCTCTATATAATATTATTATTATCATCATCATCATCATTTACACGAGATAAATATATATCTTACGTTGCTTGCTTTCTCTCTTCCTCGGCGATCACTCGCCACAAGCTCCCTGTACAGTTGGACGAGTTCGATGCCAGGTGAGTGTAAAATCCTGGGCCATTTGCATAGGTTAGCGTCTCGTACGGAACATCCACAGACGATTTGCTTGCGTAACCTGTGAAAGCAGGAAAATATATCAAAGCTAGTTTAAAGGCAGTTCATTACTGTGACCTTTTTGTGGAATCTGAGATATGCAGTGTGCCATATAACGTGATTACCGGACGTCAAGATCATATTGGTAGGAAATTCCTCTTCATATTTGGAAGGTCACTGGTTCAAATCGCGGCCCGAAAACCAGAAATCCTTAATGAGATTTTGGTGTGTTTCCTCAGATTGTCCAAGCTCAGTTAGTACCTCAAATCAGGTAACTACCGCTTCCTTTCACATCCTCTCCAGTTCGGGATTCACCACCCTAACCTTCGACGCCGTATTTTCTGAGCTAAATGCATACATATATAAATACATTAAACGTTGTGCAGTAAAGAGTAGTATGATACAAGAGGTAATATCTCCAGATGTTGATGTGCTTGAATAATTATGCACCACTCCATGAAAACACATGAGGGAGTGGAGGTAAAGCTCCACCACTTGATTTCGGCACTAGATAGAGATGAGTGGTCAGGTTCACGCCCCAGCTGATACCGGCGGGGAGAGAGCCAGGGGGAGACTGGGTGTGCTTCAGAGACAGTCTGGACGCTGCGAAGTAAGAAGACATTCCTAGCCCCTGCAGGAAATAACCCTAGCCGTCCAGCTCCTAGCCCGTCGCTATGCCCACAGAGACATCGCAGCTCCTACACGTAAATATAAGAATGAAAGAAGTGGAATAACACTGCAGCCTTAAATGGTCTTATCTCACCAGCTCACCAGAGATTACTGCGACAGTAACACCAAAATACTCGGGTAGAAACTTGCAACTTCGGCCAACATATCACACATGGACACCTTCAAGACTGAAATCGGAGTGCCTGGATATGAAGTCGGAAATATGGAACGACTGCGCTCTAGTGGCAGTGTGAATCACCATGAAAATTCAATTCCATTGGAATGCTGATAAGTTGTGAATAGAACGTATTCTTTAGAAGAGTCATGGTAAGTAAACTTACCAGATCAAGACGGATGTCTATGGAAGAAACCATTTACTCATTAAAATAAAGAATATTTGTAAGATTTGAGGTTCTCAACGGCTCTGATTATGAAGAGTTATATATTTTAGAATATAACGCAGTCCTTTGAAAATAAGCCTAATGTTTTTTCGGAGTTTATAACGACGTTTACTACATTGACTCATTGTATCAAGAATTGTTTCCTTATTATGGCATCTTAATTTCTTATCTCTCTTGTTCTCAGCCAACTCCGTCAAGTTTACATTATCAAAACCACTCTCTCTCTCTCTCTCTGTAGGAATTATAGTAAATGGAATATACGTCATTGAGGGACACTCCAGTAACTACGTAATTCTCTTAGAATCGAATGTTATAACTGGAAAAGAAGTGACTATGGTCTATTTCAAGGCAGTTGTGACTGGAGGATCTGACGTAACCACGAAAACTCCATCAGGAGAGTCGTTCGTATCGAGATAAGTGTCAGGAATTTCTCGATTGCAAGTCAGGACTGTTCTATATGGGTATGAAACTTGGTCTCTGACATTAAGGGAGGAACTTACACTCAGGGTGTTGAGGAGAATATTCGGACCGAAGAGAGATGAAGTGACAGGAGGTTGGAGAAAACTGCATAATGAGGAGCTTCATAACTTGTACTCTTCTCCAAGTATAATTAGAATGATCAAGTCAAGGAGGATGAGATGTGCAGGGCATGTAGCACAAATGAGGGAGAAGAGGATGCATGTAGGATACTGGTTGGAAAGCCAGAAGGAAAGAGACCACTGGGAATACCAAAATACAGGTGGGTGGACAAATAGATCTCAGAGAGATAGGATGGGATAGTATGGACTGGATTGATCTGGCTCAGGATAGGGACCAGTGGAGGGCTCTTGTGAACACGGTAATGAACCTTCGGGTTCCATAAAATGCTGGGAAGTTCTTGAGTAGCTGCAGAATTGGCGACTTCTCAAGAATGGCTCAGCTCCATCAGTGAGTGGAGTCAGGACTGTTGCCACTCGAGCGAAGTTGAAGATTTCCAGACTACTATTTTGTTACATGCCGTACCTAAGATATCGTTCCCACGGTTGGGGTAACCGTTGATGGTGAAGGCGTGCGAATGATCAGCAGTGACAATAATCAGAGTATCAGCTGGGTTCGTGTTGCTTGCTGCATATGCTACGGCGTCGTCCAGCTCAGCGGCCTCGTGTAGTGCCATCTGCGCGTAATTAGCATGGTGGCCGTGGTCTATACGCCCTCCCTCCACCATCAGCACGTAGCCCTCTCGGTGCCTCGACAACACTTTCATGGCTTGTGATGTCATTTCCTGCAGAGATGGTGTCCCTTTTGGACCACGATCTCGCTGCAATGCATAGGGCATGTGGCCAGGACCAAACAACCCCAGCAAGTAATCAACCTGCAACGCAAGGCAGTCTTTTGTAGGATTTGAGATTCTCACAGCCGTAATTAGGAAGACTTACATTTTCTGGGGTATAAGGCCGTGTAGTCCTTTGGACGTCTATCAACGTTTTTGAGGAAAATGTCGTTTATATTTGCAGGGTCCAAGAATAATCAAAGCAAGAAACGACATTGAAAGCATCAAATTCTGTTTGTCACCTGCTTTCATGTTGGTACCTTGCTTTGCTTAGAGGTGACATTTTCATCAGAAACATCGGTTAACTTTCAACAGACTACACGGCCTTATATCCCAGAAAATGGAAATCTTCAAGGCAGTTTTGTGTTGGTTTCAACTAAATTCATAAAGCACAATAGCCCGCTGTAGGTCGCGGTGGAAGGGCCGAGAAGGCCCACCCCTTATGCATTCAAATTCATGCTGCAGATGTAAAGACAACCTCAAGATACTGAGGAATTTTTTTTTACAAAGCCCGGAATTGAACTCGTTATTTTGCAGTCAATATAGTCTTCATACCTATAGTACAGACATAATACAAGGTCTGGCTGAATAACATTCGAAAATTCATTTTTATTTTTTCGCCAAGCGATCTGGCAACGCTGTTACTTGAAACGTTATGTGACGCAACAATACAGAACTTCGATAAGCAGCGTTCAGTATTCGTTGAAAAGTAACTCGTTAGATCACTGCGTGCCAACTTCGTTCAGACGTGAAAATGGAGCGTACGATGGAACAGAGAGTGAACGTGAATGTTTATAATTACCAAGTGAAGCTTTAGCGATATTAAGAACAGTCATGGTGAATCCCCAGGCCAAAGAACCCATGGATGTAAAAGTCCAAGATCAAAAGAGGTTTGATCGCTTTTTCGACATCAGAAGTACCATTGGTACCAGAAGAAACCACTGTTAATCGGACATTCTACGCGGAGGTATTGAAAAAGCTTAGTGATGCCGTGAAGCGCAAGCGAAGAGAGTTGTGAAGAGATCGCTTATTGATTCTTCACCATGACAACGCATCGGCAAATTCTTCGCGTTTCGAGTGTGGCAGTTTTTAACAGAAAGAGGCATTTGTGCCATTGATCATTTGCCATACTCTCCTGACTTCTCGCTGTTCCTAAAACTCAAGAGTCTGCTGAAAGGAAAGCGTCTCTCGGATATTAAATCATCTGTGTAACAAGTGTTGGCGGACATTGCTGTTCAGGATTTCAAAAACTGTTTTAACAACTGCCGAAGCGCTGGGATCATTGTAAAGAATTTGAGGGAGATTACTTTGAAAAATTCTAGGTTGCGGATATCTGCAGCTCTCAAAATAAATTTTGAAAAAAAAAATAGTCTCAAAACTTATTTTCCCAACCATGTATATTGCTATTATTAGCACGGTAACGAGACTTTGGGTTCCCTAAAATGCTTGCCTAGCTGAGCTGCTCTAAGCTACTCAAGAGAGATCTGTGGGGTTAGATAATACAACAAAATAAAATAAAATAAAATTGGTTGTATATTCTTTAAGTCATATTTCATTCGGCGATTCCAATATAATTTCCGTGCATAAATTTCATTAAGGCAAAATTAGCCATTTACTGTGCTCGGAAATTCATTAAAATTTATTGAGCAGTTTTAGATATGTACGAATAGCCTACCTCCAGCAACTTGTTGCTACATCCAGATTTTCAATTCGGGAATGATAAATTTTGACGTTACCTTATAAATAGTATAAAACGGGCGGGGGCGGACGAAGGGGGTTGTCAAAGATAATTCTAACGGTTCTCAAGATATGAGATAACAGATTAAAAAAAAAAAGTAAGACAAAGTAAGGTATCCCTGTAACAGGCCATGGAGGCCCATAGGGTTGTGAGACGTTTTCCCTAGACAATCGCATCACAGATGGCGGTGAAGTTGTCAGCCTTACGCGCCGGCCACGCTTTACCTACCAGGAAAATTATTTAACTAATTCCTGCTACTTATTTCTGTTAGAGGCTGAGTCGACCCCAGGGTCATAGTGCGGCTGGAAGGATTAGGTCAATTGAAAAAATCCAATGACCTCATCGGGACTCGAAACCGTGACCTTCCGGCTTGTAGCACAGTGCCTCAAAAAGCCTTGTTTAATTATACACAAAAGTGCGGGACCAAGACACACGGCCACTTTACCGGTCATAGTGTGCGTGCTTTGTGTTTCCCTACATCGTATGATCGAAACATACTTTTCTCAGATAAACATTCAGCGAATTACTATAGACCTGCTTCTAGGAACTAGTGTAAGTCTTAATTTAAAGGTCCGTTGTTGTCAGTTTTTAACGAAATCTGGACTGTATCCACAAATTACAGTGAAACTCCCTGTCTAACATTGGATTTCATGATAATCCGCTTAACATTTCTCGAGGTGTTATATAAAAAAGTACTGAATATTCGAGTTCCACAGACATTCTAGGGGATATCTTTATCAGCTCAGCGACTGTTGTCATCCTAAGAATTATTATACTTCATGGAGTTTGTTGTTTATTTAGTTATTTAATTGAGGTCATTCCCTAGCAGAAGTTTCAATGATAATTTTTGTTTAGACTGGAACTTGAAAATGTTATGTCTCATTCGTATTTTCATGTCTGAGCATTATTACCAATAAAAGACGTTAGTAAGTAAGATGCAAAAGTTTGTGACAATGGTATATCAATATAAATATTATGTTTATGGCTCTGTCTGTAATTTGCCTTTGCAGCTGTTTACTCGGCACATAAATAATAAAGAATAGAATTGAATTATCCATTGTCCTGTCTGTATCTAAGAACACGGCGTCTCGGAGACTGGATTCTGTCCCTGTCTTCAGGTAAATCTTACTCAGTTGGGCCCAATCGATAGAGCTAGTCCCTATCTCTGAACACCCGTACCAACACCAGGTAGGGTATACAAGCCAAGCACAGCACAAATTATCTATGAGAACTAAAGGAAACGTTAAAATATTAGAAGCTCCACACGTATGAGGCCTTACACCAGAGAGTTTTTAATGTTTTAATGTTTTGTCTTAGCTCTCGCAGATGGTTTGTGCTGTGCTTGGCTTTTATACCCTAGCTGGTGTCGGTACAGGTGTCCGGATATAGGGATTATCTCTATCGATTGGGCCCAACTACGTAGGGTTTACCTGAAGACGGGAGACAGAATCTAGTCTCTGAGAAGTTGTGTTTTTAAATAAAAACTGTTCGGTGTTTCGGACAAAAATAGGACGATGGACATTGTCCAGAATCCTAATAGTTTTAAGACGTTCTTATTTTCTAAAATGTAATCTTACTGATAATGTCTTTTTCTTGATTAAACTATTTTAAAATTTTCTAAAGTAAAGTACAATTTCTGTTCATCAAAAGTGGTTTCGAAAGATATCGAACAAAATATATCAAGTGCTGTTATAAACTACATATTGTAACGTGTCGGGAATCCAGAAGAGTCACTTCTATGGAAACGACAGAACAGACCGTTGCATAGGAAACAACAATCACTCTATTGTAGTTAGAACAGGAGTCTCCACGGCTATAACAAAGGGTTCGTTGCATAGCACCGACCGAGGTTATAAAACGGGGTTGAATGCATTCGCAGTGAGTCTACTATAAACCGCCAGAGAAGACAGTCCAGTATCACCGAGATATTGTAAGCAGTAATTGTAACACTGCAAGAGCAAATGATTGTAAAGTGTGTAGGGTGAGCGAGCGGAATAAATCCGCTATATAAAATACCACCGCGTAAACTTCTTTGTAGCGTGACACACTACAACACGCTACAATAACTTTACCTTGGTAGTGTCAGCACTCATCAGGTCTGCTGTGTTGTTCACGAACAAATAGTTAGTTTTGCCCTTCATCCAGGTTTCTAAAAGGTTTCTGCCGTCCGTTCGATCACATGAATCATCAGTTCCAGGATCTACTTGAATCCCAAACTGTCTCATCCCTCCTCCCAATATGACTCTGAAATTCCTGCAAAAAAAGGAAACGTTCTTTTTGTAGCTGTTACGAGAGAACCATAATCAATTGAACTATACCTCTCTTCTGTCATCTTCCGACAACATGAATCTCGAGAGTGAAGCAAACTGCTGCTGTGTTCTTAATTAATTACTCTCTCCAGGCAAAGAGGCACATATGGGCAACTAATTCTCATATTCTTGCTTGCTTACGCTTTAAAGTTAAGTCGTGACTCTCGGTACGTACTTTCCAGGTTCTTCCTCTACCAGTTGCCTCGCAATATCCTTAGTACAGCCTCTGAAGACTGGTGGGATTTCAGAATCGCATTCCCAGTCCCGGCTGTTGCTGTGTGCATACAGGGCTGCAGGGGTGGCGTGAGTGATCCTGGTTGTGGTGACTATCCCTGTATGCTTTCCTTCCGCCTGAGCCCACGTCATGATAGAGTCCAACCGGCTCTTCTCGTTGATTGCGGCGTCACACTCGTTGAACTTGGCATTCGAATCTAGTCCCAGCATGTAGTAGTTGGACTTCACTCCCGTGAACATGGCTGTGGCGGTCCCTGCTGAGTCCGGAACCTGGCAAATGCAATTCACAGTCACATGCGCTCCGTTAATGTTCAACTAACCGTAATTTCCAGAGCAGTTCCTTGAAAGTCGTGCATGAAGTTATACGTAAAGTTCGGAGTATGGTATTCTGGGACCGTCTCTGTGATCTAGTGGTCAGAGTTCCTGTCTAAAGATTGAGAGGCCCGGGTTCCATTCCCGGCGCTACCAGATTTTCCGAGAAAGAGTTGATCTGGAAAAGGGGCCACTCAACCTCGTGAAGATAATTGAAGAGCTACTTGAATGGAAAAGTAGCGGCTTCGGTCTAGAAAACCGAAATTAACAGCCGTGGGGATTCATTGTGCTGACCACGCGACACCCTCTATCCGCTAAAGTTGGCACTAACTTCGCTGACAAGCGGCGGTCGCTCGGTCGGTATAGTTCGCTTGCAGACTGAAGCCACAGGGTTTGTATTGTATTCTGCACTGAGACACCGTGTAGTCTTGTAGACAAATATAGGAATGCTGTCTTTATCATCAGGGTTGAAATGCATAAGTTCAGGAACTCACTTGGTTAAACAGGGAGCTTGTAAGCCAGAAGACCTCGATATGAACAGACACTGCGGTCGGTGAGCATTTCAAAACTTGTAAAAGTAACGTCATTAATTGATCGCATCATCGTGAACATGTATGGGTTGGGGGCGGAAGATTACGTGTACGTGTGTTTAATTTTACCCTAGATTAATATGACTGGTCAGCTTCACGCCTGTTTTATCACCGGGAGAAAGGAAATCATTACCGCTTGGATTGTGACTAGGGTGGGAGAGCCCTAAGTTCCGTGTGGATACGGTAAGAAAGTCAAGCTTATAGCCCAGTAACTTACTGAGCTAAGGCCGCGCCATAGCTCAAGCGGTTAGTCACTGGCTTCCCACCGCGGCGGCCCGGATTCGATCCCGGTTCTGGTCAAGTGGGACTTGTGGTGGACTAAGTGGCGCTGGGGCAGGTTTTCTCCAAGTACTTCGGTTTCCCCTGCCAATCTTCATTCCACCAATTGTTCCATAATCACCCTCACCTATCATCTGGGGCTGGTACAATAGGCCAGAAGTGGCCGCAGTACAAGGGATATAGTCCCACCCCACTAGCGATAAAAAAACTTACTGAGCTATCCCTGCTCTGGGAGCCGTACATACGAGCACAAAATAAGAATATAAAGGCATGCACATCTGTATAATCAATAATGGCGACAAATAGGAAAAATGTGTAATTACAATATTATGTTAAATAATCATTTATCCTGGCATGAGTGTAAAAGACAGATTATTCCTGTGCTTAAGCTCGACTCCTTTAACACGTATAGGGGAGCAGAGGAATGATTCCAAACATTCTTTACCTCGGTAGTATATGGACGAGAGCGCTTAGCCTCACTATACAGCCGTTTTCCTCTGCGGAATTAATCGCCACTTCCCACTGTATTGGCCGTTCGGTGAGCCCCACTGCCGGTCTGGACACTGTGAAGAATGTCATGATCTCTTCCCCGACCCCTAGGTCGTCTTGCTCATAGCTTGGTCGTTGTACCCACTGAGTTATCTGAGCTTAATATGAATGCTGACATTTCTGTATAAATCTGTGTTACAGAACACCACAGTATACGGAGGCTTAGTTCTATATATTTACACTCTTCTCACAATTTACCTCGCATTAAATAACTACACATCAATGAAAGAAAATACCTGTTTATCCACATTGTATGTTTTGGAAAGGCCGACAGTGGGGAAGTGTTCAAAGGCCAGCTGGTTCTCCTCCCCAGACTTTCCGGCAAGCTGTCCCTTGTAGATGCGGGCAGCAGTGATGGTGGACATGCCCATACCGTCGCCGATAAAGATGATGACGTTCTTGGTGTGACCCACCACGTTCTGGGGAAGTGAGGTAGAGAGTTAGAATTCCCTGAGGGATCAGAACAGAGGCTGAGAGAGGAATATGCATGAATAACATGACAAGTCCTTTTGACGGAAATAGGTATCGAAGGAGAGCAAGGTAACCCTGAAAAATGTAAACGTAAAAGAACAAATTCGGTTATTAATTGGTAACTAGAACAAAAAATAATTATAGTAATGCTAATATAAGTTTCTGAAATCCTTTGTTTCTGTCTGATTCATAATGTTTGTGTTGATCCCACCATAGTTTACTTAAACTCGTATAGGATCAGCAGTTGATATAGCGTCATAAGGTAACTAAACAAACAGTAAATGATGCGAATTATTTAATTTCAGTTGTTTTCTACTTACCTCACGAGTCAAGGATTTATACAGACGGGAGTCTCCATATTGTTTCCAGTATTCGACATTCTCTACCCGACCTCCTGTGACGGCGGCAACCATCAGCAACAGTATCCACAGAGGACGTGTGGTCAAAATTGCCCTCCTCATAGTGCCTTCCGATCTGGAATTAAAATAGTATAATAGAAGATGATTTACGACTATATACGAGTATTATGCCGTTCTCACGGCGTTATACAATATTTTTACGAACTTCCACACGCAGCAGCAAACTCTTCAGTCTTAAAGGTAGAGATGTAATTAATTTATTGTTTCAAACTAGAAAGGAGGGAATGAGATAAAGACATTAAAGGAACAGATGAAAATAAGAAATGAAAGGAAGGTTGATGAATAAATTATTCTCCGTTGTATCTTGTGGGACTTTTCCACCAGTTACAAAGTATGCAGTCTGTGTGTACGCTGTACTTAAACTACTGCTACGCAATGCACTCTAAATCAAACCAAGTTTAAAAGTTTATCACTTCGATTTCATTCATTAGCATGCAGTTGCATAATAAAACGTGCCGCCATTCTATTAACTTATGCGCCTGAGTGGTTTATATTGTCGTCACGTGTTATTGGTCACCAAGGTTGAAATTTGCATGTCTCAGAAACCATAAAACGGAAAACGATTTCATGAAATTTAAATTTGTCTTATTTTAATTGTATCAAACGGGAAAATTGTTCCGTTAACACAGTAACTACCTGCGTTATACATTGTTCAGTGTTCTACAATTACAAGTCTGATCAGATTAATAATTCAATTTCTTTAACTGCATCTTTGGCTATAAAAATTGTTTCAAATTAGCAGGTTTAGTTTTACGATGATGATAATGTCTCACCTGGTGAGCTCGTGGTTAAAAATTGAAAATGTCTCAATCTAGGAGCACAGGGTAGCGCAGTTAGTTAAGGCAACCAAGGAAAGAGCTCTCTAATTTGTATATCATCACGCTAAATAATGCACACGATACCATTATATCTTCTGCTTTCATCAACGCTTTTCCCAACGTGGCCCCTTGAGGGGGCCATGAAACTTTCTTCCAGGGAAGACAAGAATGCTAATAATCATATTATAATACAATTTAATCCATCATAAATCGGTCACATTAACTTACAAATATACAATTTAATATAAAAAGTACTTCACATGTGTAATTAAGGTTCATTAATAAATATTTTTCGGAATTCTCTAATCGCAAGTCAAGTTATTTTTTATAATTTCGGCGGCCTTACTTTTGGTCACGAGAAAGACGCGAGAGAATAAATGAATTTGGGAATCAATGTATTAGAATGTATATTGTCATGCGGCTCTCAGTGACAACTATTACTTTGACGTTGTTCCTGTAGTAGATTTTGTTACGATAATTTGAAGTGTACACCGGAGAGTCTTAAGGCATATTTGAACGCTGAATAGAGAGATAATTGATGGACATTTAACACCGTTTTCATATGGAAACGAAGTAGCAGTCAGTAAACTGCAATAAGAAAAGAAATAATATATTTGCACACTGCTAGATTACTTTCATACAATTACATAATCTGAAAAACTGAGACATTCTCTTACCATAGACGTTCATTAATTCATTTTACTGCATGATGATAACTTCCACAAACTTTAAGTTTGAATGGGCAAATCTTTGACCACAGATTACATGCTTTAGTTCTCTCTTCTCTGATATGATGCTCTGCAGTCCGTTGAAAGTCAACCGAAGTTTCAGAAAAACATGTCGCTTCCATTTTCAGGGTTAAAAAGTAAGCCAAGTAAGAAACCAGCATGACTCAGGCAACAAGTGGGGTAAGTGTTTTTCGGTCCTCTGAAACATCGGCTGAATTGTACCGAACTACGTACACAGCATTATATTCCAGAAGATAGAATTCTTCACAGGCATCGCTGTGAGAAACTCATATCCTACAAATGTTATAGTTTGTTTCTTAACTATGCTACAAGCCGGAAGGTCACGGGTTCGATTCCAGATAACATAATTGGACTATTCAATTGACCTAATCCTTCCAGCCGCATTATGAATCTGGAGTCGGCTCGGCCTCTAACAGAAATAAGTTGTTTTTTTTTTCTTTGGCACTACAGCCCCAGTGGGCCTAGGCCTACCTCCATGAACTTCTCCGTTCACTTCGGTTTCTCTAGATCTTACACATTCGGTAGGACTCCTTGGGCGGGTGATCAGCTCGTCGCAAGGCCTCTACCTGTATGCAAAGACAGAAAAACGCACACACACAAACTAAGCACCCATGCTCTAGTGGGATTCGAACCCACGATCCCGGTTTCCAAGCGAGCGAAGACAGTACATGCCTTAGACCGCTCGGCTACCGTGACCGGCAACAGAAATAAGTACCAGGAACTTTTCTGGGGGTAAAGGGCGACGGCGCGTAAGGCTGACGACCTTATCGTCATCTGTGAGGCTATTGTCGAAAGCAAATGTGGGAGTCTCGACGTCTCATAACTCTGTGGGCCTGCTCGGCCTGTTACAGTTATAGCTTTGCCTTTTACTTTTAATTACGGCCATGTTTATGGACTTTAATGATGTTTTTTTTAAATGAGATGCATTATATCTTCTTGGAGAAATGAAAAAAAAATAAATATTGTGACATGCTGCGCAACGAAGGACCCCTACCTCCCCAGCGGCACGTAGCGGTAACGTAGCGCTCGCGTATATATTACAATATTACGTTACAATATTATTTACACGGTCTACCCATTGAAGGAGTCAAATATTGCTGAGATACTGCAACCCACGTCCCATCAAGATAATCGCTGCTATGGTCTAAATTCAAAATGTGTCCGTTCAAACTGTAGGTCATATATTTTACTGCTGTGCGATTCTGATCCATTTCATATTAGTAGAAATATATTTTATTCTACGTTGCTGCAAGCAATTCGTCTCAGTACCCTACAGTTAATGCCCAGGAATAGAGCGGGTAACTGTAAGTCGGATGTCATAGATTTACATTCAACACATGCGTACTTGATTCGAATCTCTGCTAGGTTATCTGCTACTCTGATAGATTTTCCTCAGTCTCCGGAGGAAATTTACAGGATAATACAGGGTCATCTAAAAGGAATGCCGGGATTATGAAAAAATATCATTGAAGAACTGTTGAACATATCGAAAGAACGTAAGTTTTCGATATATTCAGCTGATGGTGGGTACCTTGGACGTTGAGATGCTGTTGTCGGTTGACATGTCGATAAAACTTATGAGCAAGGCCGGCCGTCACAGTTCCCAGAGCCCCGCTAGTTTTTCCTCCCTGTGTGAGTACTGTAGGTGTCAGGCGAGATGTGGACCTTGCAGCAGAAGGCTGAATTTGTTTTACGGTATGTAGAACAGAAGTCGGTACGTAAGTGCTGCTACGTAAGTGGCGAAGGTTACATCCAGGAAATGATAAGGCTCTGAACCGTTGGTTAAAAAATTTCAAAGAAACGGGAAGTGCTGCGTAAGAGAAATTTTCAGGTCGAGTAGAAACACAGCAAGAGAATGTGGAGCGCATTAGAGAGTTCTGGTTAAGGAGCCCTAAAATGTCAATGTTTCGTCGGGGTTTAGAATTAGGAATTCCAAAACCTACGATTGGAAACGTCATTAAAAAAAATTACACCTTTGTGCCTACAAGATTCAGCTGAAACATGAAATCAAATCTAATGACCGTCAAGAATATTATGATTCTGCCAGTTCAGTGCCGAATAAAATTGATGATGATGATGATGAAACTCTTGTACGCCAGATTTGTTTCACAGATGAGGCGACTTTTCATATGAACGGGTGCTTTAACTGGTATAATTGACGAATTTTTGGATCAGAGCAACCAAATGAAATTCACGAGTAAGTTGGTGGTAATGCAAAAACTTTAGACATTTAGTAATTTAACGCTTGAATTATATCAGTACTGTCACGTGTTACGTCACCGCGGAGGAAGGGGTGTTTACCGAGCGTTGCGCACTGATGGAAGGAGTGGGGGTATGTGACGTCACTTACGAGACCGCAGAGTTCAAGTGACTCCTACTTCCCGTTGCGCCATGCACGTCACAATACGTTTAACAGTTTTTGAGTGATCGATTTTATAATCCTGGCATTCTTTTCGATGTCCCTGTAGTAAATATAATTACTTAATCCGTTCCTCTTATACCGGTGTCGAGGTTTTTTTTTCTTTTGATCATTTTACAGACAGTAGGACTCCTTGGACGAGTGATAAGCTCGACGCAAGACCTCTACCTAGACACAGGAAAACACGAACACACAATAAACGCATACACATAACAAACATCCATGCCTTATGTGGGATTCGAATTCACGATCCCTGCTTCAGAGCGAGCGGAGACAGTACTTGCCTTAGACCGCTCGGCTACCGTGACCGGCAGAAAAATACTCTCATATTGTAAATACCCAGCTACTGTATTAGCCTTGATCATCCAATTTTACTCAACATTTTACAGGCTCTTCACTTTGCAATTTTCCGAGCGTCATTAAATAGCCAAACAACTAATTAATTCGACTATAGTGTGAGAGGAGCCGGGGTAGTGTAGTCTGTATAGGAACTGGCTACGGGCTGGATGACTGAGGGGTGTGAGTTCAAGTCCCTGTAGGGTCAAGAATTTTCTCTTCTCCAGATCTCCAGACCGGCTCTGGGGTCGACCCAACCTCCTATCCAATGGGTACCGGGGGCTCTTTCCCCGGGGGTAAAGTGGCAGGGGCGTGAAGCTGACCACTCACCTCCAACCAGTGCCTTCATGGCGTAGCGCTTAAATTCGTTGAGCACAGGGACAAATTTACCTTATACGGAGAGAATGAGTGTGTGGGTATACTCCTTTACTTTTTCATGTTACATAATGGCTCAAGCGACAGGTCGTTTCGCAAGTCTTCAGAATTACAGCATTGTGCGGTATGTTTCATTTTTGTGTAAAGGCTATGTGCATACAAAATGGACATACCAAAGCAAATCTGACGGAAACTGTTATGGGAATCTGAGCATTGTGATTGCAGACACGTTTGTGACAATGATGTCATCATTGGGGAACTTCCTTCCTTAGCTCAGTACCCAAATAACACGGCTCCTCTGAGGCAATAATGTGCTACGCAAGAATCAACAGAAAGTAGTTTTCCAGTTTGTAGCAGA